CCCCGCCGCTCCGGCCCCGCCCCGCGCCCTCCCCGCGTTTTCCTATAAATACAGGGAACGAGGCGGGGTCGTCTCTCCTACGTCCGGGTAGGGATGGGAAGGAATAAACCCTTTCCTTCCCATCCCCCAAAAGGGGGAAAACCCTTTCTTCTCCTCCCGCTGGGCAGCGCCGTCTTGGGCTGTCGCCGGTACAACCGGTACCGCACAGCCCGGCGACCCCAGGGTGTCGATCGCGGCCCCGGGGTATCGATCGCCCGTCGAGTAAGTCGTCTTTCCCCAGGGAGCGGAAGGTGGAGGGATTTTTAAGCGTTGTATGTCACAGCTGGTTTATGCGCCCATTTTTTAATTTATTTTTTCCCCCGGATTTGCCCGTTAATTCACAGGAGGGCTGCGGCGAGAGGGATTTTTGGAAGTACACAGTTGCCTTGGAGCCAAAAAGCCACCAGCTGTGCAAACACGCTTTGCTTGCTTAATGCTACGGCATTAAATAAAACTGGTATTTCACCTGCTAGAGTCATTGCACGCTTTGTGACGGGGAGGATGCCAGAAGAATCGAGCCCAAATAAAATCTGTCCCCCACCGCTGAGGGTGGGGCTGCCTCCAGAAATACGCACGCCTTTGGAAGGACGGACAGCTGCTGACATTGCGGGGCTGCAGTTCTTAAATGTAGCTAGTTCCCAGGTAACTCTGGACTTTCCGAAGTGAAATGCGACCTTTGAAGTCAGCAGGTGCTGTTGTCCCGCTGGCTCCGTGCACAAGTCGCTTCGCCGCGACCGGAGCAGGGGGATGTAATGGTGGACGTGAGTCGCTGTGAGGCTGCAGGGCTGGCCTGTCTCCCGTGAGCAGAGGGTGCATGGAGCGCTGGTTGGGGTGGTTATCCTGACTCTGTGAGTCAGCACACAGGAACAACCACAAAACCATGGATGAAATGCGAAGAGTAAGCTGCTTTTTGTTAGCTCACCAACCGAGGGGTCCCCAAAGCAGCACCCGGGCAGAGGCACGCACACATGGGGACACAGGCACCACAGAGCTCGGTCCATCCTGGAGGATAGCTCGGTCCATGCTGAAGGATTGCCGACCCTGCTGCTTTCTCCTGTTTATCAGGGATTCAATCTCAAGCGTGTCCGATAGGCTGCCTCTAAGTCTATCGCAGGCCTATGTTATCTAACAGGCCTATGTTATCTAAACACAGGTGTGCTACTTGTCAAGCACACAAGGATTAACATCAATTAGGATGATATATGTGTTTTTGTATACCCCAGCTGCAAACCACTTGAGCGTGTTTATAGTCCTCCCCACCAATCTTCTGTATTTATCCTGTATTCCACCCCTTTGCTCAAGGGACCGGTTCCCCTGAGGCTGGCAAAGCTGGAGGTGTCCATTTGGGCTTGTGGGGTGTAGGACCAGGTAATTTAGAGGCACGTAATAAACACATACAGAAAAAAAGAATAAATGTGTGTCTACAGTAATGCTTTGAATCAGGTGTCCCGCCCATCCTGTCAGGGAATCAAACCACTCAGCCAGCCAGGCACCACCAGTAGATTATTTTCATTTGGTGCATTAAGTCCTGGAGATGTTGAATGTCGTCCTCTAGGCTGGCTGATTCATCAGTTGTGTTGAAGCAACACATGCCTTCAAAATCGGAGCAGTGTTTATGGTGTTGAAGGAGACAGCCCACCACCAATTGATTTTGTAATGTTTCTTGGTATACAGCCGTTACCTGCTTGGAAGGAGTAACAATGAGGAACATTAATGTCAAAAAGCAGTTAGCATAGCGTAATTCTGTAATACTGCTACTGGAGTTGGCATGCCAATAAAACATGGTGTCAAAAGATCTGCAGCTGTTAACCAACACAATACAAGTTGTGTTAACCAACACAAGACAAGATGAGTTAGTTACAGTAGAGGCCAACCAAATCCAAGTATTTACACACAGGGCATGTGCTTGCAGTACAAGGCTAAAAAGCATGACGAGCCAGCCTCTGATAAGGGAGGAAAACAGGAGTGGCATCTCCTTGCAGTAATACGTACGCCATTGGTCCAGCTCCTTCAGCTAATTCTACTCCAGCTTTGATAACCTGATGTAGGGTAATTGCCCACACAGATTGAAGAGCTATGACTCGCGCTTTTTCAGACTGAAATTCAGTTCAATGGTGGGTTCACACCACCGCTGTTCCAATGCCAACTATCTCCTCTAGATAAGGCACAGGTATCTGTCAAAGATACCTGAAATAGAAGAACTTGAGAGTCTGCTATCAGCAGGGGATGTAAGAGGAGAAGCTGGGGTACAGAATCATATGGCATTCTCAGGGGTTATTATATGAATCTTCACATCTCGGCTAATAGGTTGCAGACCCACCACACAATCTGTTAGTGTAAACAGTTCCATTTGCCCTGTAGTTAATATTTTGAAGAGAGAACATCTGGAAGAATTTCAGTCCTCATCATGTTTTGTATTGGAGGTGGTGTAATACAATCAAAGGGTGTTTGATTATGAATATTCTGGCTGTTCAAAAAAACTGCTTTAGTAAGATGTGAACTCCAGTATTGTACAATTTTAGTACTGGTTAGTTTTCTTAATTGTTCCTTCAACATCCCATTTGTTCTTTCAGTCAAGCCATTAGCCTGGGGACGGTAGGCAATGTGGAATATTCAATCTATACCTAGCCCTTGAGCCCAATCTTGGACATCATGTCCACTAACGTGTGTTCCTTGGCCGCTTTGTATTTGGTGAGGAGGTTCGTATTGATGAGTGAGTTGTTCTAATGCTTCAGTTGTGCTATGTCGATTAGCATATTTGGTGAGTTTAGAAAAAACCAGTCCTGACACTGATTTCCCCCTCAATGGGGGCAGGGGGCCCTTGTAATCGACCTGCCAGGTATTCAAGGCCCACTGACCCTGTTTTATCTTTCCCCACTGTTAGGATCCAATTTTTTTGGATGAGAGGAAGGCACCCTTGCTTTCTAGCCAACCTCAGACAAGGCTGGGAGGCTAGGGGTGGCAGGTTTGATCCCTTTGAGCGAGATTAAGACAGAAACAAGGTCAGATGTCATAAGTCCACCCATTTATTAACTCTTCGGGGGAAAGAGAGAAAGCAGCGATAGGAAAGGAAGGAAAGAAAGATGGGAAATTAAGCAAGAGGTCCAGATAGAAGAGTGCAGACAGTCACCACCATGGATCCGCGGTGTACCAGGGGTCCATGCTTCTTTGGTGGTGGGTGATCGCACAGGCAGGGCTGGTGGTCACACAGGGTCGGTGGTCGCACGGGGTCTTTGGTGGTCGCACGGGGTCTTCGGTGGTCTCACAGGGTCCTCAGTAATCGCACGGAGTCTTCGGTTGTCTCCCACCTGATAGGATGTCACCAGGGCCTCACCGCTGTCCTTGTGGCTGTGGAGGCAGGGGGTGGCAGCTTGTGCAACTGCGCTGCAAGGTCCTGTTAGCTTCATGTGGGCAAACTTTGAGACAAATGTCCAGCCATTCCGTCCCTCACACCCACAGCCTATCTAATGCCCTTAAATGTAGCCGCATGCAGATAGTACAATTATGTGCACTTGCTTTATAAATATGTAATGGCAGAGGGTTTGATTGCGAGCAATGTCCCTTGCACGTGCAGTAAGAGCTGATCAATGTCCACAAGCTATATGCGCATTTACAGCTTGAGCATGTACTTCAGCGGAGGTTGTATCATCTACTTCCCTATTATTTTGTGACTCAAGTGAATCATCTTTCTGATGAGCTCAGACATGCCTCACTTTTAAAGGATACCTTTGTACATATTCCCAAATCTATTGCCATGTATCTGCCCCCTATATAGGGTATTTCTCTACATGCCAATCCTCTTGGGCCCAGCGGTGTAACCTCATTGTGAGGCTTTTGTACGCAACCCAGCTATAAGTAATACGCCTTCCCTTCCAGGATGGCAAGAGATGCTGCAATCAATTCAGCCCACTGACTAGATGCCTGTACACCTGTTTGCCGTAATATTATTCCTGGAACCGGACCGTATGTAACTGCTCTCCGTTGTCTTTGCCCAGTTGCCGCGTATGTTGCGCTTCCATCAGTAAACTGGGCGTCTTTTTTGTGCTCTTCTATTAACTCATCATAAGGGGGAGCTTCCTCCACAGGAGATGTAGGGATATCTCCCAAGGGGAAGCGATTCCCCTAGCATGGGCATAGGATTAAGTGATACAGTTCCTAGAAGAGTGGCATGTGGAGCGGTTACATACGGTTTTCCCAGTAGAAATCATTGCTGTAAATAATGTTTACATTTCCAGTGTGTGGCTGCCTGAGCTACCCCTGTATGGGCCCTAACAGAATCATCAGTCAGCCACCCATCAATAGCTATGGGTGTTGTACAGTCATGTTATCTTGGCCTGTGATTCTTTCAGTTTCTAGCAGTGCCCAAACTGCAGCTAAAATTTGTTTTTCCATTGGGGTATAATGTACAGCGGAGCCTTGTAATGCCTTGGACCAAAATCCTACAGGTTATTCCTGATTTTTTCGCCCAGACATCTGCCACAATCCCCACGAGACTGCATCATCTGGAATTGTTACTTCTAATTCAAAAGGATAGCCTTGCCTAGGAGTGTATCATTGCACATGCTCAATCAAAGCATTTTTTGCCGGCATCAAAGGCTTCTTCTTGTTGTTTGGTCCACTGCCAAACAACTTTCTTCCTAGTTAATTTCTGCAGAGGGCGCATTAATACTGCCAGATGCGGGATAAAAGTTCTCCAATTACCCTAAAAGTCCCAAGAAGGT